CCTCATGTGCTCCCAGGCCCGTTCTTCATGGGCCCCCTGTACCGCCTCATGCTGCTGCCGGTCCAGAGTGTGTCCATGGGTCCCTGTCGGCCTCCCATTGCTGCTGCCAGGCCCGGAATCTGCCATGGGCCCCGTAGCGACTCCTCATGCTGCTGCCAGGCCCGTAATCTGTCATGGGCCCCTGTACCGCCGCCTCATGCTTGCTTGCCAGGTCCAGAGTGTGTCCTGGGTCCCTGTACGGCCACCCTTTGCTGCTGTCTCCATCGCCACACTCTGGCATGTGCCACTTTCAGGTCCCTCCTCACACTGCTGGTTGGGTTCCATTTTTTCATAGGGTGCTGTGATGGCCTCCCAATTGCTGTTGCCTCCATACGCCATCACTGTGGCCTCCACACTCTGGTTTTGGCCCGTGACTGCCAAATGAGTGAAGTGTGCGGTGATTCTAAGATCGACTGGGCAATTCATCTCGCATGTCATACTGACTGACAGTATTATTTCTCTTCCCCAGCGAGGACTCCAAGGGCATTTTAAATTAAAGGTACAGTGTTCTGCACTAATATAAAGGCCTCTGCTGAAAGCCTAGAAACACCCTTTTTATAAGTTAAATTCGCAAGCGAATATATTTCGACTCGATTCAAATTTATTCCGCGAATTCGCCAAATCAGGCCGAATCCGAATTTTGAATAATTCGCTCATCTCTAGTTACAAGATTTGAACACAGCGACAGACACATCTATTTTTTTTTTATTACTTGGAATGCCGCAGCAAATATAACATGTTTCCATGATGCTTCAAGTGGTATTATATAGATTCTCATTTCATCTCTCAGTGGCAGCAAACTAGGCCCTGAAGACCAAAGCAACTTTTGCATAGCAGATGTGCATTTTTTGAATTCCAATGACTGAGCAAGCTATGGCATTGGCCTTGTGCTTATGCTCGGTGGACAGCAGCTTGTAGGCACATGTCAGGCTCCATTCATCTATACATAAGAAGATGTCATTCTGCACCAGAATGCAGGTCAGCAGTTACAGTTGAAAGCTATGAAACTGGTAGTACATGTCTCCTGTGATTCAGACAACACCCACTGCACGGTTGCCACTTTTTCATTTAATAATTAAAGACATGGCTAAAAATGCCATACTCTGAGTGGATCCACAGGGCCTGTTTATTGAACTGTCCCAATCTGAAATGTAGGACAGCATTGAATGAAAGAAGAAAGAAATCTGACGAAGATCCAATAGTTTAATTATAAATCTGCTTCCAAGTCCAGCAGCTCTGGCAGCTGACAGATTTTGATAACTTTACCCCAAGGAGAGTATCCGTATTATCCTCAGAAATGTCAGGGTTTGAGATACTTTAATGTCTTCAGCTCATCTGATGTTTATGAAGCCTTTGTTAATTGTGTTTTTGATAGCAATACGCAAGGACATATCAAATTTAGCTTTGGTAGACATAATTGTCGAAATGACAAGAATTATTTTACTATGATATTTTTATACGGCGTGTTAGATGCTCATATATGTACAAGATGTAAAATTATATAGGAATGGAACTTGGCTTTTGACTGGCTACACCAGTGAATTGGGGGCAACGGTGAGCCATACTCCCAGTATGAACTACCCTGCTAATACTAAAGCACTCTGCAGGTACACTGAACCCAGAATGCATAATTTTGGTGATACATATATAATTCAGCAAGAAATATAATAGGTACTTAAATATTTATATATATTAACCTCCCTGGCGGTATTCCCGAGTGTAGCTCGGGGGAAAGTTTCAGTACCAAAAGCGGTAACCCCGAGCTACACTCGGGCTTACCATGCAGCGTTGCATAGGGAGTCCCTGCAGCGCTTACCTTGTCCTTCGCTCCCGCAATGCATCCCCCAGTGTCCCCGGCCATCTCCTCCGGCCGATTTTGGCATCCGGCTTCCGTGTTCTGGTCCCTGTGACGTCGGGACGTACGGGCGCCGGAACCAGCGGCAAATTTGAAATTTTTTAAAAAATTTCATTTTTTTAAAAATGATTATTACATAGTACAACATTCGATGTTTCAAAACATTTCACATACATTTTGTCCCTAGTGCTTTGTCCTGTCCCCTGCCTGCATTTTGACTGTTCTTTCTGCCTGGAAACTTAGAAAAGTCCATGGCGTCCAAAAAGCGTCCCTTTATTTCAAAAGCGGTTTTAGACCGGCTAGAGAACAGCGATAGTAAATCAGAACCACTTGCAGAATTGAGTGATAATGATTTGTGGGGAAATTCGTCATCAGACACTGAAAACGATTCTGCGACTTTGCTCAGCGATGTGCGAACTTGGCGCTATATTTCAAATTTCAGTGTTTTTGGTTTGATTATATTATTTAATTACATTTATTATTATTAATTTTTATGATTATTTATTAAATTATAATTTATGATTTTGCGTTTCAAGTTTTATCATATCTAGAATGTTTACTAGACACTTGTTCGGACAGATTTCAGTGAGTTATTCCTAAATTACAGGCCTACAATAAAAAAAAATACATATTTCCATGCAAAAAAATGGTACCGCTTTCAGCACCAAAATCTGAAATAATCATACCGCTAGGGAGGTTAAAAGATCAGCACACCCAAAAGCAATGTCTTACCTATAGGTGGAGCCTTGTCGGAAAAGTTAGCTCAGTGTGTTGCATGCCTTGATACTACAACAAAAAGCCATAATTCCAAATTGCATTTCTTTCCCCTTAGGAGTTTTGGGCTCCCACCTCTGTGTATTCCAATTCCTATTGCCTATAGAATGTTAAAAAGTAATCCAACAAAGAAAGTGGATTGGAACCTGTCATAATAGCCACAGCAGGCTTACAGACCTGGCAATCGAAGACTAGAGATTTTAATAAGAGTCCCCCAAAGATATAAGAAATTGTTTGTATGCTAGAATCTGCCAAAAAAGCAGAAATATAATTTTTCAGTGGATTAAATATCAAATGCAGATTTGCCAATTAAGTAATCAAAATGGGAACACTGCGTAGAACATCCAACCTTTAAGAGAGAAGTTTTCCTCTTAGTGCTCTGTACACATATCACTGATGTGGATAATGGGGTCCTAAATGTCTAGCATCTCACCATATGTAGCACATCAAGTCCACCATGCCAATTTAACAGGCGATGGCCTTAACTCTGCTTAATTACTGTTCACCCAAAGACACATCACCATCACTGAGGGTTAGGGACTGATGTGAATGTACAATATATATGTATGTAAAGCGCTGCGTAAATTGACGGCGCTATATAAGTACCTGAAATAAATCACTGCTGTAGTTCAATATATTTTCAGCATGCAGTCCTCACAGCACTTTTTATTTCTCCGTCAGGTCATTACATTTAGGCTCATGAGCATCTTAATTTACTCAGGAACTTATGACGCCCGTGTGTGAGGGGCCAAAAAGTGTGTGTAAAGACCTGAGTAATGCTGAGTATAGACAAGTAAAGGTGTGTAAGCATATAGATGAGTACAGATCAGTAAAATTCTTCTTCATTGCCAGTATTGTGGCCCCTTGCATATGAGTAAACATCAGTAAATTATGACGCTCCTGTGGGGCCTAAATGAGTATACACGCAAGGATATTACTGCACTCATATGAAACTTTCTCTATTTAACTTGTTGAAGTTAAGAAATGCTCACTTTTTTTACGGTACAAAAATATAAAACTTTTCATTTGAGTGCAGTAGTTTACTCGCGTGTTTACTCATTTTGGCCCCTTGCACACAGGCATCAAAAGTATAAATGTGAATATTACAGTACTGGCAAGAATTGTAATCGTCTATACGCTTACACACCTTTACTCACCTATACTCAACATTACTCAAGTCTTTACACACAGCGTTTGGCCCCTTGCACACTAGTGTCACAGGTTCCTAAGCATATTATGATGCCTGTGTGTAAGGGGCCTTTTTGTTTTACTGCTGTGTACTCAACACTGTATTGCTGATCTTTTACTCAGCTGTGGGCAGTGTCGCATAGAATACAATGCGTCTCATTTCAGATGAGTAAAAAACGCAGTATTTTTTTACTCCCGTGTGTAACAGGCCTAATAAAGTTACATGCAGAACACAAATGTACACATGTAAGAGTTACTATAAAGACCCAACAAAGTGTGCTATTACATTGTTCACTTTCAAGAAGCCAGTATTAGTGAAACTGTAAGCTAATCTCCTTTGATCAACTTAACCTCTTCATGCTGGCAGCACACAAATGTGCGGCCTCCCGGCGTCTGGGCCTGGACACCGAGCGACCACACATTTGCATGCAATTAACAAAAAACATATGTGCTGAGAGCGCGCACCCTGCGCACTCCCAGCACACATGTCCGGTACTCACAGAAAGGTCCCGCTCTGCTCTTTCGATCGGGACCTTTCCCAATCATGTAACCGCCGCGATGACACGTCACGGCGGTCACATACCTAAACCCCGCCCGTCCCTCCTCCCGGCTTCTGAAACTCTTAAAGGTTCAGGAGGCGCCGGCGGGAAGGGGTTAACTAATGTTACTTTAACCACTTGCCACCCTGCCACTGTAGAAATATGGCGGCAGGGCGGCACGGGCAGGCAAAACCACGTTTTAAAACGTGTGTTTTGTAAACAGGTAGGGGGCGCACGCGAGGCGCACCGCCGCCCTACCTGTGTTGTCGATCACAGCCGCCGGTGTCAGTCGCCGGGTCACAGCCAGTCATTACCAGCTATCTCCCGGCAATCGGCGGCAATCAGTGACAGAGAGCACAGCTGCAGTAGCTGTGCTTTCTGTCACTTCCCTGACAGCTCGAGAACAAGCTGATCGAGACATAAGAGTTTATCTGTCTCGATCAGCCTGTCCCCGTCCAGCACACACCCCCGCCCCCTAGTAAAACACTCCCCCTCATACAGATAACCCTTCCCTGCAAAATAAACTTAACCCCTTCCTCCCCAGTGCCATTAGTACAGTGTCAGTGTTTTTTTTTTGCACTGATCACTGTATTGGTGTCACTGGGGATGTCAGTGACCCCAAATCAGTACCCCCCCAGTGTCAGAATGTCCGCCGCAGTCCTGCAGTCCCGCCATAAGTCGCTGATCGCCGCCATAAGTCCCTGATCGCCGCCATAAGTCTCTGATCGCCGCCATTATTAGTATAAAAAAAACTAACAATCCCAGTATCTTTCCCGCCATTTGTAAACGCTATAACTTTCACGTAAACCAATTAATTTACACGTATTGGGTTTTTTTTTTTTGCAAAGACATGTCGCAGAATGCATTTTGGCAGAAATTTATGACTAAATTTGATTTTTTAATTTTTTTTTTTACTGGACATGTTTTATAGCAAAAAGTCCAAAATATTCCTCAAAATTGTCAGCTTTTTTTTTTATAACCCAAAAACTAAAAACCGCACAGGCGATCAAATACCACCGAAAGAAAGCTCAATTTGTGGGAAAAAAAAGGATGTAAATTTCATTTATGTACCGTATTGCATGACCGCGCAATTGTCCGTTAAACTAGCGCAGAGCTGTATAGCAAAAAAATGGCGTAAATTGCAGTATCTATACCATAGTTTGTAGACTCTATAACTTTCACACAAAGCAATCAATATACACTTATTGGGATGTTTTTTTTACCAAAAACATGTAGCAGAATACATTTTGGCATAAACCAATAACTAACTTTGAGTTTACTATATATTTTTAATAGCTGAAAGTAAAAAAATATTGTTTTTCTTCAAAATTTTTGGCCTTTTTGTGTTTATAGCGTGAAAAATAAAAAGTGCACAGGTGATCAAATACCACCAAAAGAAAGCTCTATTTATGTGAAAAAAAGGACGTAAATTTCGTTTGGGTGCAGCATTGCATGACCGCGCAATTATCAGTTGAATTAGTGCAGCGCCGAGTAGCAAAAAGAGGCCTGGTCATTAAGGGGGGTAAATCTCTCTGGTGGTTAACTAATGTTACTTTATTGCTAGTCAACCAGAATTAAAGCGGAACTACACCGCATCTGCACAACAAACCAAATATGCTATTTTTTTTTTTTAATTCAAAGAAAACCCATCCATTCATCTATATCTCCAATCCTTATGATTTATTTTGCAGAGAAATCACTTTCTAGTATTTCTGGCCATGGCCATCTTGAGTAAATTCTAGATGATACATATAGCATTTGCATCTGCCCTTAGCTTAGTCATGCAGGCAGGAGGGTGGGCTTAGATGAGAAAAAACACTCTCTTCCTTCCTGAAGACTCCTGGGATGTATGACATGCTTAGGCCAGGATGTAACGAAAGAAATGTTAAAACAAAAAAAAAATGTAAAACACACAATAGACTGTCTTAACTATTTACTAATGCTGATAGCACAAGGATTAAAAGTAATCAATGTTGATTGAGAGAGTGAAGTTCTGCTTTAAGTTATTGCTGTGGATTACCATAAATTTGTGTTTCTGCTATCTGTTGTCTTATGTAATGTGATTATTATGTAACTGGAGCATGTAGTGTACCATTAACATATTTAAGGTTGGTAGTGTTTTTAAAGCTGAACTTAAGGCAAACATTCAAAACATCCCAGATTCTGGTTAAGGTTCACAATTATTTGATGTCTACCTGTAATTTAATGTCTTCCTGTAATTTATTTTTATTTATTACAGGTACTTATATAGTGCCATCAATTTACGCAACGCTTTACATATATTATTATTATTATTCAGGATTTATATAGCGCCAACAGTTTGCTCAGCGCTTTACAAAATAATCAGAGACAATACAGCAACAATACAGTTCAATACAAGAGGGTTAGGAGGGCCCTGCTCCTTGCAGCTTACAATCTAAGAGATATATATATATATTGTACATTCACATCAGTCCCTAACCCTCAAGGGGCGTACAATCTAATTTCACAAACAGTAGGTCCCAGAAAGGGAGGTTCAGCACTGTAAGCTGCTTTGCGCAGTACTGTTATTGTAAGTTTGACAGTGCTGTCAAACGTACAATGAAGGCTTGCTGACAGAAGGAGAGAACACAGTAAACAGAACAAGGACCTCATCATGGTGGCAATTTTTCATTGGCCACTCAGCAGACTGGGGCAGGTCAGTTACCAAGTTTATTGATTAACTGGACTAGTCAGCATGACTAGATCATGAGACTGGCCACACAGATTCTCAAATCTTTTGATAGGTAAGACTGATCCCATATGTGTTTTACAACTGTATTTTTTAGCTGTTTAACTGGAGGTCTGTTTAAAGTATCACTTGTCTGCTTCCTTTTAATTGAAAAAAAGAGTGTTTGATGACTTTTGGAGATTGCTTGACTCTCCTACTTTTCTACTATTTAACACATTCTTATATGCACAATTTTATAAGAAAAGTAAACATGGGGCACATTAACCATGTATTCTTTGTCACGCATAAAATATTATCTTATTAAAACATTGTGTAACTAAGATAATAAATATCTAATTATCAATGGATCTTGCAAGATTCCTTCCCCTATTCCAGGGAATCAAAGCGCCTCCCTTATTTAGGAATTCACCTCACTTCCGGTTACAACAGATTATACAAAGGTAACTATCCGCCTCTCTGTCAAAGGCTCACACATCTGTTAGTGACCTGGAAAACATATCCTTTTGACCCCCTGCACATAGATAATTTACTGTGGCTTCTCCCACATGATAGAGCTTTCATACACAATCGCATGATTCCCATTCCTGGAGATTGGAGTCAAACTCAGATAGTCTGGGGGCTGCTGTTTCTCCATTTGCCTTCACTGTCTATCCTCAGAAACCCTTCCTTCCCACTGGGTCTTGGAGGAGCCCTTTCCTTTTTAAAGGATGAGTTTGTCTTTTGAAAAAAATAATAAATTCACATTTTTTACATGTAAAAAAATGTATTATTTATTATTTTTTTCTAAGGAGCCTACAGATCATTGCACCCATGATCAGCAGATGGCAGGTGCAATCTCAGGCTCCTGCAGACTCTCCGGATAGCTGTCTGCCTGTGCCTCATAAAGGCAGGCAGTTACCTGAGAGCAGGAAGATCAATGGGACAGAGCCCTCACTAGCGCCCTCGTAGTTCATTGAGAACTATAAGCCATTGGCCTCAATGGCTGACAGTATTTGTAGGCATTCATTCATAGGAAACTGTGAATGCATGACATGGCCAGGGGATGACTGACCATTTGGAAACTCAGGCACTGCCCGAGGGCCCGGGGTCAGTAGGGGGCCCCATGAGATGCCCCTGGTACCTTTTTCATAGGCTTTTTTGAGTTTGGGCAAGGACATAGGGGCCCCATGATTCCCTATTGCCCGGGGGCCCCATGAGTTGTCAGTCCGCCCCTGGACGTGGCCTTGTGGGTGAAGCCCCACACAGCCGCACTTTGTTCAAATTGTGACAGTGGGTACAGGGAGAAAATCCCCTACCTGCTTTCACAGAGAGGAGGGATTGAGTGGGGGGGCTGCAAATGCTGGAACGTTACATGTTCCACCCTAAAAACGGGTGGAACATGTAACATGTTCCAAAGGAGAACTTATCCTTTAAACGCTGGACTCAACACAACATTGCAGGCCTATGTACTCCAATGACAAAAGATGGTTGAAAATCATTTCAGACCTTGCAATGTGAAAACTCACTACCTAAATATTCCATTACCTACAGGTCAAAAACTTTGTCACATCCCTAATCTGCTGTCAAACTGATAGAACTACCCTCACACCCTTATAACATCAGGGTAAATATGACCCTCATTCCCCTGAGCTTGAACTCCTTGCTATTTAACTTATTTCTTGCAAGGCCCCTTGTTACACAACCATGATTATATGTGTATATGGATGAAGGACTTAAATACCCAAATAGAACCAGAAAAATGGACCAGCAAAAAAATGAAGAACCAGAAAAATGCTCTAGCTCTAGAATCCAATTATAAATTATTATAATGTTGGTGCTTAGTCCCTACTAGAATGGAACATTACACTCCAGGCCACATGTGGACCACATTTTGATGTTGCTCAAACCCAAGGACATTTTTCTATATATGCTGGACCCAAGTATATGATATGCTGGATTTATTATTTGAAATCTCTTTCCCTGCATCACCAGCTGAAGCTTTTCTCAATCTCAAACCTGACGGACTTACTAAAAAGCAATTTAAATTTTAAATGACACAAGGCCCTAGGTGTTTACCCTCTTTAGTCCCCCTTTAACCTCTTCGCACCTCCCGGCATCTGCGCCTTGACACCGAGTGGCTGCACATTTGCGTGCAATTAAGAAAAACATATGTGCTGAGAGTGCATCCCCTGCGCGCTCCCAGCACACATGTCCGGTTCTCCCGGAAAGGTCTCAATCCCCTCTTTCAATCGGGACCTTTCCCGATCATGTGACCACCGTGACAGCGAATCACGGCAGTCACATGACCTTAAAACCCCGCCCCGCCACCCGGCTTCTGAAACCCTTAAAGGGCCGGGAGGCGCTGGCGCCAAGGGGTTAATGTGGAAATTATGCTTTTGCTGTATATAGTAGTAAATCAGGAATTTATTCATAAAGATTTGTTGCTGAAAGGTCCACTATAAAGTGGTTGTAAAAGCTCCAGGTTTTTTACCTTCAAGCATAAAAAACCTTATGTGTGCAGCAGCCTCCCGCTCCTCCCCCCCCCACAGCCCAGCGATGTGTGCAAGAGCCTCAGCTCTCAGGGGATTCTCCCTCCTCATTGGCTGAGACAACAGCGGGAGTCATTGTCAACAACAGCCAGTGAGCCAATGAGAAGAGAGAGAGAGGGCAGGGCTGAGCCATGGTTCTCTGTGAATGGACACGTAGAGCAGTGGCTCGGGAGCAAGCCTGCTTGGGTGCCCCCATAGCTGCTTGCTCTAGGGGCACTCAGCAGGAGGGAGGGGCAGGAGCACCAGCAGGAGACCCAAGAAGAGGAGTATTGGGTCTGCTCTGTGCAAAACCACTGCACAGAGCAGGTAAGTATGACATTTTTGTAAAGCCTGCCTTTAATATCACTTTAACAGGCTGTACCTTTTTTACATATTTATTTACAGAACAGATCTTTGACATCGGTCAACAACTGTAAAGCCTTCGTTTTAATGAAAATCAGTCATATCCCATGGTTTCTTTTTATATATGCCTGTTTTTTATAATTGGCATAGGTTTTAGCGACCCATATTGCATGCTGGGAATCATGATTGTGCAAAGTGCGAAAGAAACCGAGGAAAAGAAAGAGAGGAAATTTAGCTTCAGAAAGAAGAAAGACAAAATGGAGAAACGTTCAAGTATAAGGGAAGTGCTGCCAGCAAAGTACATCCAGGTCACTGAGGTCAAGAGCAATACCTTGAATCCAATTTGGAATGAAAACTTCCTTTTGTAAGTGGAGTGACATTCTGCACCTAAAACTTCTTCTGTTTCATGTAACGTATACATTGAATACGCCGTCTTCCCCCAGAGAAGTGTTTTAGAAGGTTTCCTAAAATAATATTCTGTGAACAAGACTCTCAGACGTATTTTTGGTTCTATGTCAAAAGCAAGTACCTGCTGTATAAACCACGACTGCTCTGTATAATGCTGAGAGATTTTAAAGAAGGGATTTCTGTTTTATTTTTAGGTTTACCGAATTTCATCTTAATCTTCTTGCTAGCTAAAAGATGGTCAGTATGGGACCATAAAGTGTTACTAAAATAAGGGGTTAATCCACCACATTGTGTAAAAGGGCTGTTTGATCCTGTCTTCTCTGATCCTCCCCTTCTTCCACAGTCCCCAGTCCATCTGCTCATAGAGCAGAGCCCTAGAAGGCATTCTGCACATTCTCAGTATGGTGTGTTTTAATAGAGATTTTTTTTGGGGGGGAGGGTACATGGGCCAATCAGCACTGTCCAGTCAGAGGGTCAGGGGTCATGCAGTCTCATAGAACAGTCAGAGGAGAATGAAACTCCTCCTACAAGCTTTAACCAGTGCTCAGCCGGACACTGATAGAAGTCACAAGACTGCTCTAAACTGCTGAGGAGAAAAGGTATTTAGCAGTTTATATTTACTACAACAATTGCATTTCCATGTTTTGTGTACTGTGGGAGACCAGATATAGTGAATGCAGGGTCCTGGGTTTAGCAACACTTTAAAGGGTCATTCTATCCAAAATGGTCATCCTGTTTTTGGAAGATGCTGGACAGTAAAGTATTTTTTTTTAGCCAAGTACATTTTTTGCAAGTACAAAACATACTTGGCGATCCTGCCAGAACTCTAAAGTTGTAACTTCCTGTGCACTGAACTGTAATCTCAAATTATGGTATCAGTCTTCCCAGTTCTTGTCTATGAACTACAGAACACCTCACCTATATGTCATGAGATAAGGAGAGGGAGAGGCATTTGTAGTTCAGATCTGAGGGAGTAGAGAGAAGTCTAGGGTGACACCATTGATCTTCCAAAGAACAGTGTGCAAGTGTTGTCACTCTAGGATAAGAAGTGTATTACTGGCAGTATCAGCAGGTGTAAATAAAAATTAGGAAAAATCTAAATTCTCAGACGTACAGAAATAGAATAACCAAGGCATTTAAAAAGCTAAGTTTCAACTTAGCCCACATTGTTCCACCTATAACTAAAATATCCCTTATTTTGGCTGGCTGACTCTTTCAAATACCTCCCACTATCGTTTTAATTGCCTGTTGGTTTTTAACTTAAAGCAGTGTTTAAACCCAAAAACAAACATTTATTATATACCAGCTTACCAATTCTTAGATGTGATGGCTGCATTAGTTTTCTGTTTTAGGCTTTCTTTCCTTTATTTTCACCAGGTGATGCTGCCAGTAAGTCTATTAGATTTTCAACACAACTAGCTGCCCTGCATATGTAGCAGTTAAAGTGTTGAGACAGACCATTTGCCACGAACAGGGGTACTTAAAATGATCAACTCTAGACACGTGCATTTCGTTTTGTTATGATTCGTTTTTTGAACAAAAATGTAATTTCCAAGATTCGGATATATATGAATCTCCAATAGGATATTGTAAGGAATATCAACAAATCCAAAAAAAGGTATAACGAAATTAACTAATGCATTTGTTTCGTTTGGATGATGTCACATGATGTGACAGTAGTTTGAGCCTATCGGGAAATTAATTCAATTTACGAATATGTTATATGATTCAGATTTGGATAAAGAATGGATCCGAATTTCATTCCTTTTGTTAAATCGAATGCACATGGCGCCAGTCAATATTGTCCAATCAGCTCATTCAGTTTCTCTTGGTGGGTTGGACAAATGTCTGAAAATGTCGAATCCGTCCTATTCAATAATATATCGAATATATAACAATGTTCCGGAAAATTTTTTCTAATCCACCCGGACCGATGAATATAGGAAACTAATGCAGAGGATATGTAACGAATTCCGAAAACAAATCGGTTTAACATAATGAATATTACAAACCAAAATTCTTTAATGAATGAACGCATCTGAAAGGAAACAAAATGAACATTTCTGGAGTGTCTAATTAGCTTTTATTTACGTAAAACCTTTATCCCTATGTTGTCCAAAGGTGTCTCTGTTGCTCCTTCATCGAGAGTAGGGGCACTCCAATACAGGAGGTGTGTCACTGGCCAGACCACCAGGTGAATATAGAGGGGAAAATGTAAAAAAAAAAACTAATGCAGCCACCACGTCTAATGATTTGTAAGCTGCAATACAGTGTATATTACATTTCTGGTCTCCCACAGTACACAGAACATGGAAGTGTAATTATTTTAGTAAATATAAACTGCTAAAAACCTTTTCTCATCAGAAATTAGAGCAGTCTTGTGACTTCTATCTGTGTCCAGCAGAGCACTAGCTATGGCTTGTAGGAGGAGTTTTTATTTCTGCTCTAGGAGGATGCAGGACCCCTGACCTCTGTCTGGACAGTGCTGATTACATGCACTCTCCTGAGAAAAAGAAAAACTTCTAGCAATACACACCAAACTGAGTATGTGCATGGCTACGGTTCAGTCTTGAGATAAGTGGTGGTCACTGAAAAAGGGGCGGAACAGAGAAGAATGGATCAAACAGCCTTTTTACACAATGCAGAGGATTAACCTTTTAAGTTCCACAGAGAGTATAACAAGCATGCTTTACTGCATATACAGACTGATTTTACTGTTGTGGGTTTAGTAACACTTTAAGTTTAATACTGCTTTAGGCCACGGTGACTATAGAGATTTGCTGTTTAAACAGCTCTCTACAGCTGCTATGAATCAAATGTAGTTTTTACTACAGCTGTGATTATGCAAACTGTAACAGAGAAAGAGTTAAATATTTGTTAGTGACTTTCACAGAGATAAAATATATACAGGATAGATGAAGTCACATGGAACAAAGCTGATCAGGATGGGTTCCACAGGTTTGGAAGCATGATGCTATGTACTGTCCATGGCAGGGGCGGACTCACAACTCATGGGGCCCCCGGGCAATAGGGGATCATGGGGCCCCTGTGTCCTTGCCCAAACTCAAAAAAGCCTATGAAAAAGGTACCAGGGGCATCTCATGGGGCCCCCTACTGACCCCAGGCCCTCGGGCAGCGCCCGAGTTTCCAAATGGTCAGTCCGCCCCTGGTCCATGGTAATGCTATAATAAGGGGACAGTGAGTGTGCAGCACCCTCTCTTCACCTACAGTACAGCCATCCAGGGGTGGACTGACCATTTGGAAACTCGGGCACTGCCCGAGGACCTGGGGTCAGTAGGGGGCCCCATGAGATGCCCCTGGTACCTTTTTCATAGGCTTTTTTGAGTTTGGGCAAGGACACAGGGGCCCCATGATCCCCTATTGTCCGGGGGCCCCATGAGTTGTCAGTCCGCCCCTGCAGCCATCTCAATGTACTGGTGCTGTATGGAAAAAGTGACCATCAGACAATTTAGTCACTCACTTTTTTCATCTCCATTGATCAACTATTGCTGGTTTTCTTGCCCTTTAACATTTTTCTTTATTCCATTGTTTATAGAAATAATAGAAATAAACAAATAAAAAAAGTACTCTTTATCGACTTTATTAGTAGCAATTAACAATATTTATTTTTATTTTATAGTGAAATAGATGATATTTATACTGACCAGCTTCACCTGGATATTTGGTATGTATAACATCTCTCTCTCTCTTCTCTCTCACTCTTCTCTCGCTCTTTCTCTCTCTTTTCTTCTGTCTCTTCTCTTGTCTCTCTCTCTCTCTCTCTCTCCCGATCATGTTCTGTTGCTCTTCTCTCTTTTTCTTTTTCTCTCTCTCTTACACTTTTCACAGACATTTAGCCTAGGTTCACACTACTGTTGCACAAGGATGTTTTTTAGTGTGTTTTTGTAGTGCATTTTTGATTCGTTTTTATACTTCACTAATTTTTATAGAAGTGGGACACAAAACTCAAAGATGTACTAAAAAAATGTGTTTTCCATGCATTCCTATTGAAGTCTATGGAGCACAAAAGGCACTGCAGTGCATCAAAATAAGTGCCTGCACCTTTAAAAAAAATGCACTGTGCTGCGCTGCATTGATGTGAATGATCAACGTAGAAAATAATGTGATTTCCATTTCCATCCAGAGTCACCTAAGCCAATAAAGGGCATTAAATCCTCAGTAACTTCCAACTAAAACTGAAAAAAAAAAGTAGAGTTCCCCATTAAATTTTTATTCAGATTTTGTGGCACTTAGTATGTGTATTTGGTGTTCCATTTTCTATTAAACCAAGCCTGTGATTTTTGTTTTACACAGTGTGGTCATTAGACCCAGGATGGGTTTGAAATTAACAAGGTTTTAACATTATGTTTGGGTAGCAAAGATCTAAACAAGGATACAGTTCTAATATTATTTTTGTATATTTAAGGTGTTTGTAAACCCTTACATATACCCAGTGAAGTGATACACAGAGATTAAACAAATCCTCCTACATAAGCTGTACCTGTTTATCTACAGCTGTCTGTCTCATACATCCATTCAGAGTGCAGAATTTACACAGGATCGCTCATCTCTGAAAAGCAGGGGGCAGGGAGTTGAAGTTACTCTCAATGAGGAGAGTTTTAAGAGCTGATTGGAGGGAAGGGACACACCCTCCTTCATACAGCATACAGGAACAGAGCTGATGCTGTCAATCTGCTGGAGGTCCCTCCCCTGTCACCATTTTTCTCTTGGTGTCAGAAGTGACAACTATAGAGGGATATGCTTTGCTCATATTTCATGTCTGAAGTTTACTACCACTTTTATATAATGGGTAAGAAATACACATAGGGGTTGATTTACTAAACCTGGAAAGTGAAAAATCCGCTACCAGGTTTTATCGTCAAAGTTTAATTGAACAAGCAGAAGTTAGAAACTGATTAGCTGCCATGCACAGCTGCACCAGATTCAGTGTTCCAGTTTTAGTAAATCTCCCCCATAGTATATTGTAGTCTTTTCATTAGGTCTTTTTTGTTTGTCTGCTAGTTAGAGACCACAAAGGTATAATTTTGTAGATTTCCTTGGGTCTATAAATCCCTCTACTTTTCTGCATGGTCTAAAACTGGCTGTACACTAGTAGATTTTCCAACAAACATGCTCATCATTCGATGACCTGACAAATGTTTGTGTTTCAAAAAAAATGTGCTTCTAACTTTCGATTTTAGAGTGAATGGACTTTTCTGAATGAAAACCACATACACTTGTTAGAAATTTGAGAAAAAAATTTCATTCTGCTCCAAATTTTCTAGCCACTTTGGTAGAAACATATAATTGAATTAATTAACAATTATAAAATCAAACATTATGTTTAGATTTAGAATTCTGCTAGTGTATGGCCAGCTTAACACCTGCCTCATCCTGCTACTGGATTGTAAAGGAGAAGCAGCACACTGATGAGGACATTCCTATGCATTCCATCCCTGTATGTACAGGGGAATATATGCCATATAGATGGAAGATATGCCATATAACCCTGTTTGGCTCAGAATGCTTTCTTCGACTGTAAGTGCTGATTGGGGTTACATGAGCAGAGTTCTATGCAGAAATAAATGTATGCAACCATAACTGTATTTAGGACCAGGTGCATATTTTTAAATGCATCCTGAATGCATGTATAGTAAAATCAATTATTTCCAAACACCCTAATTTACACTATTGTGTTCAGTACCAGTGCTTTCAACAAAAAAAGAACAGCAGCATGCATCTTTTGTTTGCACAAGAACTTGTGTAAATGCACTGGAAAGCACATAAACACATGTTTGCATAAAAAAAAAATGCATTGGAATGCATTACAAATGTGTTAAAAATGCATTTCAACCCAGGTGTAAATGTGCCTATGGAAACACACACTAAATGCAGGAATTATGGTGTGAACTAGCCTGAAATGCTTTCTCTTCTGCCTGAAAATTCAGACTTACCATCGTTTTTTTAAATGAAAAGTGGGCTAGAAAAAAAGGATTAGCTGCAGTCTCTAAACTTTACAGTCTAGGTTAGAAAAAAAAAGAACTTGATTGGTTGCTGAAACTGCATAAGGATGTGGAACTCCCTTCCACAGTTGGTGATGTCAGCAGAAAGTGTAGATAAATCCAAAACACAATGGGCATCTTAGCAAACACAATATACAGGGCTATGGGAAATGGTACTTAATCACACACAATCACTATCATAGGTTGAACTGGATAGACTGGTATCTTTATTCAACCTTACCAACTGTGTAACTATGCTATTGGCAGCAAAAAATCTATGCTTTAGTACATTGTTTCTCAACCTTTTTTCAGTCAACGCACCCTTTAAAATTCTGCACAATCTCAAGGCACTTGATTCTAAAATGTAAAAAAACTATTCTACTAGTTTTACATAATGGGGCAACATCCACACATAGTACATTCGATGTTACAGGTGATTTATTCTTCCAAAGCAAATATACCTTTGCACACTAGAACTGACTAGAATTCCAACATTTCTCACTCAATTTCTCTCCCTCATTCAGCTTATGTGACCCCAGTGCTGGCAGAGAGGGGCAGGGGAGGGGCAAAAAAGGATGCTGTGCAGGCACGCAACATCCTCGTTATCAACTGATGACATCTTTGGGTACAAATGGAGAAACAGAAAAAGGGCGCACCGACCTAGTGCATTATCGTTTAAAATTATTTATTAAAGAAACAAAAATAGATATCATACTCACAATGGACATAATAACACAGGCATGTCAAACTGAACAAGATGTATGATCCAAACAACATCTGAGTCCATACGATGGAACCCTGGATGACCAACTGGCTAACGCGTTTCGAGGACACAACCTCTTCCTCAGAGCTTTGGTTGGCTCTGAGGAAGAGGTTGTGTCCTCGAAACGCATTAGCCAGTTGGTCATCCAGGGTTCCATCGTATGGACTCAGATGCTGTCCCAGTTTGACATGCCTGTGTTATTATGTCCATTGTGAGTATGATAACTATTTTTGTTTCTTTAATAAATTATTTTAAACTATAATGCACTAGGTCGGTGCGCCCTTTTTCTGTTTCTCCATTTGTATCCAGTGTATTCGGACCACCCCGGTCTGTTGGGCAGCAAGCAGTGCATATTCCAGAAAATTCCAGAACATTCCTATTGGGTCTACTGAGTCCTTTCCTAGCGCAGGAGTAAAGTGTTTGTTGTGTTGGATTTGACATCTTTGGGTGTCAGGATGCTGGTAGCTAGAAGGCCATAATAGTGCACAATGACAACCTGTGGATTTGTGTACTAAAAGGCAGGCTTGATTCGCCTGCTGGCTTGTATACAATTTTTGGGCAATTTGTAGGCACATTGCCAAGACACCCCTGAAGAAGCCTGAAGGCACTCCAGGGTGTTGAAAAAGGCTGCTTTAGTATACTCTTCATACCTTACACAATGGATCTGTGGTTTTATTGGTTATTGTATTTCAGGGATCATGACGATGATGTGTCCGTGGCAGAGGCCTGCAAAAAGCTCAATGAAGTCAGTGGTTTTAAAGGTATGGGCAGGTAAGGTATTCAGTTCACCTACCTAACATCTTTTGTGTTAACTAACTCTCCTGTTTAGTGACACATCACCAGTAAAACTTATCTTTCTGTTATATGCAGTAAACAAAAAAATCTCAGCTAAACAATTGCCTACTGTTCTCTGCTTACAGATGAAGACTGGCATCCCCAGATAAATAGTTGTAGCATTGCATCCAAGGGGTCAGATGTATTGATTGTACCACCATTCAATAATGACATGTTCAATAAGCTAATATATATATACCATCTGCCAGATGATTGTCTTGTATTTAGATTAGAGGAGAAATCCACTAAAAACGTATTTATTTATTTGAATTTAAAAAATGTAAGTTTTTTTTACTTTTGGGGTATAACTAAATACCTCTGTTGGAAAAAAGTGTTTTGTAGCCCAGGAGATTTCCCTTGAATGCTTGTCTTGGAAACACAACTTTAGGTTTGCCACTTCTATGTAATATGAGGACCTACCTATCCAATCAGTGTTTATCCATAAGTCATGCCCTTGCACTACATAGTTGTTGGCAGATCTAAAAGAGATTGTACAATCAGATTGTAATCTGTGCGGTGAGCATTAGACAGATATCACCAAAGTAGGTGCCAACATTAAAGGATTTCCTCTCATCTCCAGTTCTAGTAACATATAAAAAAAAAAAAATCTTTTTTCCATCATTTGGTGTCCCTGTGACAGTGGTCATCAGGAAAGATGGGTTTCATTTCCTCTGGGGTCACAGACAGCAATCTCCTTAGAAAAGAGATAATTCAACTAATTGTTTACATTTATTGCCAGCCTGAAGCAGCAATAACTTGTATGATAGTCTTTGTGAATTGACTTTTACAGATGAAAAAAAAAAATCACTAAAATAATGTGTTTGGTAACTGGAACAGACATTTGCAGCAAATTTAGCCAAACAATGCAGCGGTGCCTTTAATGGACTAAAAATTAATTTTTGATTATTAAAAAAAAAAATTAAAAAACAAACAGCTGTGTCATGCGTTGGAAGTGAATTATATCTAATGTGTTGGATTTTGACAGAAAGGTTTGTATAGATGAATTCCTGGCTACACCCATCTTCTGCCAATACAGGGGATTTCACTCTTGTTTGTGGGTTCTCCTTCTATTTATGCATTCCAGAGGACCCCCCTCTTTCCTTACTGTAGGTTTTCTTTAAAGCAAAACAACAGGTTTGCTTTAATCCCTGCATCCCCAAAAGCACAGACTCCCCTTTCCATTACTCCCTGTCCCCACTCCATTCAGCACCAAGGGCCGAAGAAAATACTCAGTACTTCGAGGTATAGAGTAGCATGTTGCTAGGCCAATTTTCACAATACTCAATGCTCCTATGCTAGCTACAATATAACTTTCCTCCATTCCCAGATGGTCTGATTAGAGTGGCAGAGTGGAAGTCAAAAGTAAGGCTCCTGGGGAGTTAATTTATAGTGAACCTTCTGGTTTAGTGAATCACAGGATCACTTAAACCTCCCTGGCGGTATTCCCGAGTGTAGCTCGGGGTAAAGTTTCAGTACCACAAGCGGTAACCCCGAGCTACACTCGGGAATACCATGCGGCGCTGCTCCGCGATCCCTCGATCACTTACCTTGTCCTGCGCTCCCCGATGTCCCCCCTGCAGAGCCCCCGGCAATGTAATCCGGCGGATGCCGGCATCTGTCTTCTGGGTTCCGTCCCCTGCGACGTTGGGACGTACGGGGGATGGAGCAGCGGGACATTTGAAAATGACAAAAAGTGACATTCACTAAAATCACATAGTAAAACATTACTGTATCAAACCATTTCACATACATTTTGTCCCGAGTGCTTTGTCCTGTGCCCTGCCTGCATTTTTACTGTTCTTTCTGCCTGGAAACTGAGAAACGTCCATAGCCTCCAAAAAGCGTCCCTTTAGGTCAAAAGCGGTTTTAGACCAGCTAGAGAACAGCGATAGTAAATTAGAACTACTTGCAGAATTGAGTGATAATGATTCGTGGGGAAATTCGTCATCAGACACTTAAAACGATTTTGCGACTTTCCTCAGTGATGTGCGAACTTGGCGCTCTATTTCAAATTTCAGTGTTTTTGGTTGATTATATTATTGAATTAAATTTATTATTATTATATTATTATTTTTTATGATTATCTATTAAATTATAATTTATGATTTCGCGTTTCAAATTTTAACATACCCGGGATGTTTACTAGACTCTTGTTCGGACAGATTTCAGCGAGTTATTCCTAAAAATTACAGGCCTACAATAAAAAACGCCAAATTTCCCTGTAAAATAATGGTACCGCTTTCAGCACCAAAAATCTGAAATAATCATACCGCCATGGAGGTTAAGGAATATGCAATGGTTAGGAGAGGAGATACCTAGCTGGCTTTATAATAGCTGTAGATTTTGCTAGTGAATTACCTAGACATACAAGAAACACAGGTTGATTCAAATCACTGATGTCCACCCAACATTTCATCCAGTTTGGAGTGGATTAACCATTAAAAGTGCAACCACCTTGACATTCTTGAGGAAGACATTCTCTCCTGTTGCTAAGCCCTGCCTCCATCCTTCAAGTATTAAAACACCAGAGCCTCCACCATCCACTAAGGTTTTGGTATTTGGCTGATGAATAGCATAGGGAGGGGTTTAGCAACATGATGGATGGGGTTTACGGTGGATTAATGTAGAGCGCACTGATGTCTGCCCCACATTCATCCAGTTGGGGGTGGACTCACCATTACAAGTGTAACCACCTTAAGAGTCTTTAGGAAGATCCACTCTCCTGTTGCTAAGCCCAGTCTCCATTATTCAAGTATTACAATACCACAGCCTCTACTATCCACTGAAGTTCTGGCATTTGACTGATGAAAGGCATAGGGGTTTAGTAACAGGAGGGGAGGGGTTTAATGTGGATAAATGTAAAGCTCACATGTTTCCTAAATGGAATGTGGAGGTGGTCATTGCTCACTCCTTATTCTGCGAGTGCTGGTTTCCTGGCTGTTGTATTGACATTTTTGCCTAAATACATTAGGCCAATGGACAGAACAAAAATGTAGAAAAGGGCTTCAGACTAATCTACCTTTCTTCTTGCATATTTTTTCCTGAGCCAGGGCCTAAGAAAAAAATAATAGAGGGCCAGCCAAACAGGCAAGCTACTACCTTTTTCATTTTTCATAATTATCATGTGAAAGATTTACTTTAGTGATGGGATGGCATGTAAAAATAATGTTCTTTGTAGTCTTCTGTATGCAGTTTTAATGTGATAAAACTGCTACCCCAAACTACTGTTTTTGTTCTTGCCTTCAGCCTAAACACGGAAGTATTAAAAGATGATAATATATGAAATGTTTAGTTGTGCTTTGTGACACTGGTTAATCCCTGGAAAATGTTCCATATTTATACAAATCCACATATACCACACTAATGTTTCTTTTAGAAGAACTACCAAATTATGTGTTTTAATAAATGTCCCCACTTTCTTTTTATGTATGGGATTTCACAGAAGATGTCAGCCCGGTGCTCACTGTAGCTCTAGCAATTAGTAGAAAAGCAATTAAATGAAATTTTACAGTTTCAGACTAACCTAGCCATTTTGCAGCCTGTTCAATTTTAGACCCGTGTGTGACTTGTCATTTCACATCCTTCAGGTCAGACAGAAAAACACGTTCTTGGAGGAAATAAAAAAGATCAAATGATTTTCTATAACATCGAACATGTTTTTTACTCTTTTTGAAGAAGCTGCAAAAACGAAATGTTAGATGTGTCATATTACAGCTTTTAATTAGTTTGTCAATTGTTTTGTGGGTTTTCTGAAGGTACCCATAGAGATATGGTAGAGGTACATGCTATCTGAATCTGCTACAATTAATTTGATAATGTAAGGATAATGATATTAAGAAAGTGTGCCTATTCTTTGAATTGCTAATTTTGAGTTGTGTGGTTTCTTTAAAGTATTTCTAAAGATAAAACATGTTTTTTTTTTGTTTTTAGTTTTTTTTAGTTGTGGATAGAGTAGAAAAGGATTAAAACTGGAGTGTTTGTGTTGCCACCTGTGTCCCATTAAGATTTCCCTTTCCTAAGGGTCTGTACATACTGCCCACATGCTAAATGCTCTGTACGGGCAGCTGTAAGTTTTTGGCTGCAGTGAGCAGCTGTGATGGGGCGGCGTGATGCGCATTTCAAAAGCTGATCACTAATCAACTTCTGTTAAAGAGACATGCTGGAGAATTTTCCTCTGCCTTTGGCTGCATCTGCTGATCAGTGTATTCTAACAGCCCAAGGAATGAAAGACTGAATAAAACAAAAACATGCATGAACAGCTTTAGGTGTTAAGAATGCTACAGAAACACATGAAACAACAGAGTAACACACTGACCCAAGTCACACTTCTAGACAAAAACATATGGAAGGTAATTCAATGCCACTTTTCCACCTTTTCTGTATAGGAATATTCTCATCCAAAAATCTACATGTGTATGGCCAGCTTTAGGTGTACTACCAGATTTAGATGGCCTAACAAATTAGCTGAGCTACAGTTAACACTTTTTAAACAAATACAGCAACCATATTTTTCCTTTTGGGATAAAGGTTTTACATAAATGAATAAAAGCTGACCATTGTAAGCACCCCTGTGAGTGTTAAATGGTTTGCCTCGACCCTCTAACTACCACTTTTGCTGGACAGCTTGGTTTGTTAAAGGAAGTTAAAAAAATAACAGACTTACTGGCCGGATCACCAGGTGGAAATAAAGAAAAAAAGTCTAAAAAGAAAACCAATGCGGCCATCACATTTAGGATTGGTAAGCATCAATATATTACTTTTTTGCTTTTGGGTTTAGAAAAGCTTTGTGCACTATGCATTAACAGCCATCATATTTACAGGCACTAAATGTGTCAGTGTAGGTAAAGACTTTAATTATGGCCAATATACACTATATTGCTAAAAGTATTGGGATGCCTGCCTTTACACGTACATATGTTTTATTGGCATTCCAGTCT